CCCTCACCCTCGTATACCGCAACCTTTTGTGATCTATGTGTTATGTCTTGACAACCTTGATACTCTTAAGACCTTGCCCCTCCCCCTCCCCCCCCAGGTGTTACTGCTCACGATACCTGTCAGTCAGATAATGCTTTCCTTGGCCTATCCTCACAGGGCAGGGTGCCAGACCAGACCCCTGAGCTCTTTTCGATGTCAGTTACGTCCGGTGAATACATGATTATTGCCAGAGTTGGTGGGTTTTTTGGTGAGTGGTCGGCAGGTGCCAAGGTGTGGTTGCTTCCTTCGTCTTTTCCATCCTGCAGCTTTCGTGTTCATCTCTCCTGCCTCTTTACTTAGAATGGTGCTCTCTAGCAACAGCTCTAATCTTCGGTACTTATATATAATGTAGATCTAACTGCTTTGCAAGTGCCCTTGAAACTTTCACTAAAACTAAGAAGGTTTTTTTCCATGATCGTTTTGAGTTTCTTTTTTTTCTTTCTTTTTTGTGTGCTTTAAACCAAATGAAAACGTTAAGGAGAGGTTTGTTATGACGGAACGAGACAGAAACCAAAATACCGATACCGATAATAAAATTTTAATGATAGCCACATGCACAGAAGTATTGGCAGTTGTGGAGAATGTTATAGTTGCTCCCAGGCTCACCTCTCCTTTCAGCCGTTTAAATAATTATGCACAGTCAAGAGTTTACGTGTTTTACGTCCTCGTCGACACAGTTTAGAACATTTCGACGACGGGCTTCGACAGTGCCTGTCGGTGCTGACCCAGGTTGAGAGGTTGTTTTTTTTTAAAGACCGAAATAGTCGAGAAAAAAACCCCCCACCCAGCCAAGCAATCCCCACTCAGGAATCGAACTTAAGTCTTCTGCGTGGGCATCACGGCGCAGTGCCTACCCATTACACCACAGGCGCCGTTGTGGCAGCTTCGAAGATGAAAGAATATGCATGTAACACTGTTTGAAAATCTGACATAACCTCAGAGGTCCCAACCCCTCCCCTCACCCTTTTCAGCCATGGCTTCTATAATTACCGAAGTTCAAGGGAACACTCACGTACATTAAAAAGAAGCTTCCCTGCCGCACACCAGACTCAACATTAGAATTATATAAGGAACACGTAAACTCTTGATCGTGCATAATTTAATCGGATGAAATAAGACAAAAGGCTGTATGGAAGCGACCATAAATAAATGTCCTCAACATACGGCCAATACTTCTGTGCACAGGATGATATTTCATTCTATTATAATCGCTCTGTTGGTTCTGCCAATGCTAATCTAGCTCTGCCAAAGCTATCCAAGCTATAACCATAACACCATCTGTAACGAAAATAATATAATAGCAATATAATTTTTTTTTAAACCCAATTGGTTTACTTTTTCTCTTGGTTTACGGCAGCAAAATAAATATAAAAATAGAACAACAACAACAACAGCAACAAAAAATCCACGAGAAAAATCTCTGCAAACATTTATAATCGGTGGACACACCTGACATCGAAAAGAGCTCACGGCTCTGATCTGGCACCTTTCCCTTCAACTGAGGTGGCGCGTGGGCCAAGGAAAGCATTACAGGACCGACTGGTTCAGGTATCATGATAATATCGTTCCGAAATATAACATTATCTCAGACGTTCTTGGTATTAAAAGAATTTAGTCTTCTTAACCCTTTCTTCAAACACATGCCCCGCTTCCCCAACCTCCTCCCCCTCTTCTTCTTCTTCTTCTTCTTCTTTTTGTTGTTGTTGTTGTTGTTGTTGTTGTTGTTGTTGTTGTTGTTCTTC